CATTTAAAGAAGAGCAGCAGAGAAGGGTCAGGGAGATAGATAGGTATAACTTGGAGATAAAGCTGAATGTGAGTGTATAAAACTTAAGCCATAATGTAGAATAGTTTTGAAATCTATCAACTGAAACATAAAATGTGGGTAATACTTAATAATCTTCAGTACCACAATAAATTATTTATAATATTTGATGCCTAGAGAAACTGAGAAAAGAATTTATGGGTATTATTTTTCTCCCTCATTTCTATTCACCTCATTATTCACTGCAAGACCATTTTTTTCTTTCTTTCTTTTATTTTTATTCTTTTTTTCATGTATTTGGTACAGGGTCTCGCTGTGCAGCCCAGATTTGTAGCAATCCTCCTGTTTTCAGCCTCCCCAGTTTTGGGATTACAGGCGTGCACCACCATGCCTGGACTCGGTGGCCTGCTCAGTGCGCCCGGAGTGGGGCTGCGTGGCATGTGGGCCCTGCACTTGCCTAAGCAGGTGCTTAGTCTGCCGAGCTATCTCGCTGGCCCTGCAAGGCCATTTCTGTAGCTACTGTGGCATTTTCTTCAGGTCTGCTGAAGGCCACAGAACCCCTAAATGCATCTATGACGACTGGATCATTTTTATTGCAGAAAACATTGAAGCAAAGGAAATTTAGTCTTAATAAAATAATGATATAAGATTTTTCTTTCTCTTGTCTAATGTATTTTATTCTTCTCAACAAGATAGAATTTGGCCTATAGGATATACATATACTGTGATATAGGCTGTGTTGGAAAAAAATTCAAATGAATGTTTATTGCTGTCGATGCTGTGAAAAGCACATGTCTTCTGTAGTTGTTTTACTTTGTTTTGTTGTTCACTTTGGCAGATAAAATAACACAAGAGGATATTGAAGGCATTCTAAGGAAATTTACTGGGAACATAATGCAGATACCTCCCCTGTAAGTTGAAATACTGAATTTTAGTAAATGTTTCGTTTTATTTTCTACAGGTTCACACCACCATAATTAAAATAGAATGGACTTACTTCCTTTTGCTGTGTGTTGAGGCAGGCTTTAAGTCTGACGAAGTGAATGATCAAGTGACCCCACGAGGAAGCAGAATGCAGTCGCCTCTGTTCCTGGTGTTACCACAGCCGGCATTTCTGCTGATCAGTTTTTTTCAGCTTTTTTGATTTTGTCTACAGATATCAAGGCTGTTTGGGCATACAGAGACTGTATATTTCCCCAGATTGCTACCGTGGGGCTATGTTCGGGACACTGAAGCCGTGCTTCCAAGTCCTAGTATGCACTGCTGTCAGGCAGTAGGCACATTCCTTTGGGACCCAGAGTCTTTCTGTGCACTAAACGAAGCTGCTGAGAGTTGTTACCTACTAAAATCACTGCTATGAGTTCACTTGGGCTGTTTCAATGGAATGCAGTCACCTGGGTAGTTTATAAATAGCAGAAATTTGATTCTCACTGTTTTGGGGCTGAAAAGTCTAGGACGAGGTACCGGCAGGTTCAGTTTCTGGTCAGACACTCATCAATGGTGCCTTTTCACTGTGTCCTCGTATGTTGGAAGGACAGTACTCTTTTAGAAGGGCACAGATCCGTGCTGTGTGGCCTGATCCCCTTCCCGGAGACCCTACTCCTTCTACCATCGTCTTGGTACTTGGGAGATCAGTGTGTGAATTCAGAGGGCCCCACAGACGTTGAGAACAGAGCACTACTTAACCGTACATGTGTGGACACTGCCACTACAGGCAAGTCACTTTTTTAAAAATAGTGACATGGCTATACAATGTGTCAACATAAGTTTAGAATTTAATATTTACTTTGTTTTTAAAATATTGGTTTGTTTTCACAATTTTTTTTTTTTTTTTTTTTTTTTTTTTTGCGGTATCTGGGATCAAATATTGAACTATCTGTGAGGAAGTGTTTCTTCATGATTTTACTTAAAATCAAAGCTTAAAGATTTTTAGCAAGACTGGCATAAACACTTTTACATCATTAATTTTATTTTTATTTTTATTTTTTTACGTCATTAATTTTAACATCATTAATGTTAATTTAAACGAAACTTATTTACATAAATTTATGAGGACCATTTTAGATTTTCTTTTTTGTGTGATTAAGAATTTTGTGATCTAATAAAATTTTATCACACAAAGCTAAAATTTAGTAAGAATATTATTTGCTTACTCGTGTTTTAGAAACACCTTGATGACTTTTATATGAAAATAAATTCTTGGGGCTGGAGAGATGGCTCAGTGGTCTAAAGCACCTACTTAGAACAAGCTTAGCAAAAGCATCAGGGACCGCGGTTCAATCCCCCAGCACCACATGCCAGCCAGCCCTGCCCCCTGGTGGGCTGAGCTGGCCTCTCTCTCTCTCTCTCTCTCTCTCTCTCTCTCTCTCTCAAATAAATAAATAAATTAAAAAAAAAAAAAGAAAATAAATTCTTTATAATAGTAGCTATTTCAAGGAAATTTAGCTGAGATTATTATGACCAGAGGCTACCATGTAGTGCCTTGTTGTGCCACAGCATAGAATGAGAACTAGTGGAGAGAAAAAAGGATCGCCATCTCTGGAAAGATGGCTAGAGAATAAAATTGACAATATTGTTTATTGAGACCTGAATGGGCTTGTGTTAGCCTCCAAGATATTTGCAAACTTCATTCTCAATAACACTGTGCGGGAGGGGAGGAGGGCAATGACTAGTTCATTTTGAAGAATGGATTTCAATTTAAAGGACTGTTTGTTATTCTTTCTTTTTCTTTGTTTCCTTTCTTTTTTTTTCTTTTTGGTCCCTGGACTTAAACTCAAGAGCTTGTGCTTGGCACGCAGGTGCTGTATCCCTAGTCCTGCCCTTCCTTCTTGTCCTGTCATCTGGAATTACTGCTTCTCTTCTCAGTCTCCCCCAGACCTCCCTCTCTCATTCTGTCCTTTTTTTTTGCAAGCTATTCCGCATTAAAGAAAGATGGCCAGAGACTTTCAGCTTTAATGAAGAGAGGTAAAGTAGTAGAAGCCAAGCCTGCCAGGCCAGTCACTGTATACAGCATCTCCCTTGAAAAATTCCAGCCACCATTTTTCACAATAGGTAAGATGGAGAGCTTCGAAATCATCTATATGCATGTGTACCTTTATCTTGTATTGGGTAATGTGTCATTTTAATGGATCCCTATCGCACTGGAGATTTTTTCCAGAGGAAAAGGTATTATTTGATAATATATTTAATAAGATACTGTTTATGTGGCCTTTCTAACTACTCTTGAGTTTTTCATATGTTGTATACCATCTTACTATAAAGCTAGAAGTCATATACTGTAGACCTCTATGAAGAACAGGTAAAAAAATATGTATTTTCAAGGATTTTTAGCTTTTAGACAAAAATGTCTGCAGATGGACCAAATTACCCCCCCTTTTGTAATGTGCAAGTTATTATCAAAAATCCCCAAAATGGTTAGGCAGAAATTTATTGTTGGGCACATGGCAACATTTTGATATAGGTTATCAATTTCACTGTATAATCCATATTTGAGATAAATTGAACAATCAAAATGCTTGTTTTGGTTGTTTAGAAATTTTCGGTTCTTCCTGGCAGTAGAAAGTTGTAGATGAAATCTTGAACATAGTAACAGGAAAGAATAAAGCTATTATTCTTAATTCACAGGCTCCCTAAAATTCACCCTACCCTTAATTTTGTACTGCATATTGAATAGGATTCCTTGTAGAAATACTTTCCCAATACTTTATTTCTAAACTGCATTTTTATGTCCCATTAGCATTACGTCATTTAATGTTGATTAAATTTCTTCAGAATGTGGTTTTGTACAATTAGAAAAAGATTTCCTGCCTTTTCTTAAGTTTCCTGATTCTAAACTATTGGAGAGTGAAAAAACACATTGAAAAATGTTCTGCTCTATAGATTTTTGTCTGCAAAAGTAAGAAAAACTCTTAAATTCTCTGACTCCATTTAAGTCATAAATATTTTGTTGAGTAGAGGGTTCAGTAGTCCCAAAGAGCTGTCTAGCAATGTCAAGTATGATGCAGAAATGCTAGCATACCTGGTGCTCCTCTTTTATCTTATCAGTGCCCCCAACTGTGAGCTGATGAAAAAAAAATGAAATTCCCCAGGTGGTGAGTTTTGATTAATTCCCTCAAATGACTTCACAGTATTTCATAAGACTAGGAACAGTGGGAATGTAGCCCTTTTGTGTAGAGACGGAGCTCTTTTCAAGATGTCTTGTTGATGAAAAAATAAAGCAGGGCTGTGTCTTCAACCAAAAAAGTTCTGTAATGCTATCTTAAGATGTTTCGATGCTCACTCAATTCTAGGATATTGTATAATTACTGTACAATTTAATTCATTTTTTTCAGGAATATTTGTAAGAACATTTAAATATGCTGAGTTCTGTCTCTAGTGTAGTACTTCAAACATAATTCCTGTTACTGTAAAAAAGGTTTTTTTCTTTGATTGTACAAATCTGAAAATATTTTAAAAACCTCTAGCTCCTAAAAGCAAATCTTGGATTTTTAACCATTTAAACCCTAACAAATGAACAATGTGTACATATCTGAAAATAATTTTTAACGTCAGTAGCAAAACTGAGATTTTTAACTACTTAAAACCTATTAAATGAATAAGGCTGAGATAAAATGCTATGACTTGCCAGTTAATTTAAAATGTGTTCGTGAATTTCTGCTGTTTGCTTTTTCCACGCTGACTTTTCAATCTCACAAACACATATGCTGCTGCATGAATAATTTATGTTGTAGCACATAAATATTTTATCGCTCAATTGTTTGCATAGTGCATTTTTACATTTGTTTAGGAGCATCATTTCTATGTAAAGTAGATTTCATAGGAGGTTAGCCATTTACCTCGTCACTGTTAACATTCCAGATGTTGAATGTGGAGGAGGCTTTTATATCAGAAGCTTGGTCAGTGACATTGGCAAAGGTAAGCAGAAAAATGAATTAGGAGCTGTCATTTAGAGAGTTATATTCGTTTTTTATGGGTAGAAGGAATTTTCTGTTTTGCATATTTGTGCGTACTGGCCTAAGAAGCTGAACTCTTGCTTTCTTCAGCTTTGGAAGCGTTGCTGGTTTATGGCACGCAGTTATCAGCCTCAGCAGTTGTAGTAAGAGACTTATAATGGGGAGGAAGAGGAAAAAAACGAAATAATGGCGGTAAGGGCCAGCTCCTTCAAGTGCACAACATTTGAACTGAAAGTGGTGTCAGAAAGAGAAAGATCTATTCTTCTAAAAGTGATTTTCATTGATACAATTCAAAAATTTTTAAAGCTGGTATTGCAAATGGCCAGAAAGCTATGGTTCCGGCTCTGCTATTCCCTGGCAGTCATGACAGTCACATTATCTCATTTGCAAAGTAAGGGTACGGGGGAGATTGTAAGGGTACGAAGTAAGGGCACTTCATGGGGTTGCTTTGTGATTTAAATAAGAAAATTATGTATAGATCTGTGTAAACCCCAAAGCAGTTGATAAGTTATTCATTGTTATTTTGCTACATTTTATTCAAAGCTCTTGGTTTTTGCATTATTTGCAATTAACCACATTATTCCAGTAGTGTTTGGTTTTAAGACGATTGAGTCAAGTTCTGTCATTTCAAAAATTATGTACTGTGAAGTTTATCTTCTGTGTTTTTCACCTTTCTTGCTGTAGAGCTCTCTTCCTGTGCGAGTGTGCTAGAGCTGACCCGCACGAAGCAGGGGCCATTTACACTGGAAGAACATGCCCTTCCGGAGGACAAGTGGACTATTGATGACATCGCACAGTGTCTTGAGCGCTGCTCTGCTCTTTTCCCAGCTGAGCTGGCACTTAAGAAGTCAAAACCTGAAGAGTCAAATGCGCAGGGTTTGAGCTGTGAATGCGTAGCTCTCAATGAGACAAAGGAGGAAGGTGATGTAATTAAGACAGTTTGAGATCGGTCTGGAGGATCGTTTCCTGGTTGACATTTGAATGGGGCCTGTGTACAGATACGGAATGACAAGCTGTGTGCAAAAGTCAGAAAAATATTTTTTTCTTTTTGTATGAAGAAAACAAAACAGCCCTTAGTTTCTACAGGATACAATGTATTTACATTATATATGGCCTTGCAATCGTTCAGTTCTTTAGAGTTGTTTTTATCTTAAAATGTGAATTTGATTAGATTCAGGAAAATTAATTTTCTGAATTTGATCTTGCTTCAATCTTTTCCTGTGAAAAAGTTGAACAAATTTTCTAATGGAAGAAAAATATGAGTTACATTTTTTTTTCTACAAAAGTAATTATAATGTAGTATTACTTTTATTTAGGCCTTTAGCTCCATTGTTTTGAAGTTTTTCAACTATGAAATAGCCATTATTGAATTCTTTCTTGTATTTTGTTTATTAGTACTAAAACACTTTGCTGAAATGACTGCACTCATCTAATAATGGCTGCATTTAGATCTTGGAAATGAATAAAGTTTTCTGGGAAGTATTTTTAAATGAACGAAATTACCCTGCTACCACTAGCAGGATGTAAGTAGAAAGATAAAAGTCATGAGTTAATTAATTTCATCTCTGCTTTGCCGTCAGAACAGAAGGCAGCTCTTTCGCATTGTATTTTGGCAACCATGAGATATTTTCTTGGTGATTACATTAACATAGTAAACTACTTTGTACCAAATTACTAAATAACATAATTTTTACTTAAACTAAAACGAATATATCTTTAAAATTTTCATTTTTTACCATTTACTTATCTCATTTTATTTTATTTTTTTTCTAGGTATTTAGTACAGGGTCTATAGGGTCTCACTCCACAGATGGGACTGGTAGTGATTCTCCTGTTTTCAACCTCCCAAGCACTGGGGTCACAGATGTGTGCCACCACACCCAGTCTCCGTTTCAGTGCGCCATCTGAGCGTGCCTCGGGGGCGGGCCAGCACAGCGCGCCAGGGATCGAACCCGCTCCCTGAGCGTGCCTAAGCGGGCGCTTTAATCTGCTGAGTTTGCTGGCCATCTGGCCGGCCCTTATTTATCTCTTTTTGGCATTAATCTGTGTGACATTGTTTCTTTGTTTGCTCTTTCAAGTGATATTTATAGACATGGAGATAGCTACTGGGTATTTCCAGCTAATCTCTTCTGCTCTAAATATTTAAGAACAGTGATTCTCAAGTGTTTCATTCAGATAGCTTCAGAAAGTTCCCTCTCCCTCTTCACCATAATTTTGAAAATGTCAGATTACAAAGCAGCAAATTTCATGTAATGAAATTTTCATATTTTAGTTATGGGAATGTAATATATTATGCAACTATGCTATAGAAACTCTCAAATCCCTCTTCATTTACTCAAATGTAATTTTAAAAGGAAGACTCATTTAAAATTTCATGAAATAAAAAGTTTTTAGATTTCTATGAATTGCCTTCTTTTAAAAGGTGGGAGTTTGCATCTCAAAAAATTTTGAATATGTAAACCAAAGTGGTTTTATTATTGCTTACTCTTAATATAAACTTAATATAAAGGTTAGATGTTTCACTAGATTATCTTCATAATATTGACAGTATATTATAAAGGAAAATATTAAAATTCTTAAGATGAAATAGAAAATGAGAAGAGAATTGGTATCGTGATACATGAACATAACATGCCAAACCTAAGTTTATAAATTGGAAGTTTATCCTCTTATGTATTCAGTTAGTGTCCTGCCTTTTATGTCAACCAAAGGTAACAGTGGCTATCTCTGCCTATTGGAATGGCATAGACTGAGTTATGTCTTCATTCATTACCATTTAAGGTTCAAACAGAAGTATTTAGGTTTGAGAACACAAACGAAGAACTTCTGTGTCACATCCAGTGTGGCTCTTAAAATTGGGGGGTTGAGAGATGGTAGGGCATGAAGAAATAAAAGAGTTAGAAATCAGAAAGCTGAGGTCAGGTGATGCCCCCTTTCCTGCTGGGAGAAAAGAGACTGCTCAGTAACTGCTGTGTGTTTACTTCTACACTGGGCAGGGTGATGTCACCCGGCGCCCCTCTGCCCAGCAACCTGGGTTGCCTGGGGCTCTCTTTTTTGGGAGCTGCCACAGCTTGTTTATGTGGCTCACCCCATGTGCTTCTTGTTTGGGGACCAGCCTTGTTTGAACCCACATGTGTGATTTTCACCATGTTAATGCCCTAACTGGAGAATTTAATTTTGTACTACCAGTTTTCCCTTTTTATTGCTCAAAAAAATTATCTTAAGTCATCTGCTTTTTTATATTTGATATTTAACTGTGTGTGGTTTTGATGATGGTTATTTTCTGCATGTTATTTCATACTCGTTTAAGCCATTTTTCTATTACTGAATTCTTGAGTGGCTTTCAGTTTAATTAGGATAAATTCTTGGAGAGGGATGAAATGAAATGCGATGAGCAGTTTTATGGTTCCTGTTTGCCTCATTGCACTCCCACAGAGTTGTAACATTTTGTAGTGGTGTCACTGTATAGGGATTTTTATATGCTGTTGCTAGTTAAGTGTAAGACAAATTAAAGTTTCTCTAATTTGTTTTTGTGGGTTTTGTCCGTATACTATTTTCCTTTATACAAATAAATGTTGTAATTTTTTAATCGTTTGTGTTATTTATGCAGTAAAGGCTTGATAGAAGTCTTTTGAAACTATTGAGTTGTTCACTGTTGCTATTTGTATTTGCTTATTGTTTAATTTTTATCCTCAAATATGTTGGTGTGAGTTAAAATTTGTTGGACCTTTAAAATGCTCTCTTCTAATATTAGTCATGCATTCCACCAGTACGGATGGAGTATCTATTTCTCCCGTATAATTCTAGGCACCAAAGATACAGTGATAAGCTACTTACTGGTCATAAACAAATGAATGAGTAAATACATATTAGACAGGGACAAAGATGCTCAGAAGGAAAATAAAGCAGGGTAAGGTGCAGAGTACTGAGGTCGCTGAAATGGGGACCTGTCTAAAACATGTGACCAAAGAAGGGCTTTCTGATGCAACAATGAAACTAAAACATCCTTAACTCTCCTAAGACCTGAAACCAAGGTACTCTGAAGAGATCAAGATTAATGCACAGAACAAATTCATTTTCTCACAAGTCTGGTCTTTAAGTGTCAGCATTTTTTGGTGTGTTTTAATCCTATTATGCAGGAACTATCCATGCCTGCCATGTTTTAGACTTCAGTTTTCACGATATCATAGTTATTTTACTTACAAGCAAGGATGAGAAATTCCTGACCATGTTTCAGCCCAGAATATACCAAATCAGATCCTTTTGATACTTTACATCTTTTACATTTCTGAGAAATAATCCCTTTACCTAAAAGTTTTCCAAAGTGGGCATAAATTATTTTATTTATGATCTTGCAATGCAAGAGCATTAAAATTACAGAAATTTGCTCTGCACAAATTCATCATTATGAACTATGAACCAAAGCTAACTTATATTTACTAGATCTTTTCCTCTTACAATCTGACTTATCAGAAATTATTCATAAAAGAGTGCCCTATAAGAAACCTTCAGTACAGCTTATGGCCTCCCTGACCAGCTTGAAATCTGTATCAGATTTAGAATGGGCAGTTAGAGGTGCAGTTAGATGCGAATTGTTTTGAAGGAAGGAAGTAATTTACCTTCTATCCTGATTCCTATAATAGGAAAAATGTGATTCAAAAGCACTTTAAAATGCTGAAACATTTGTTAAATATAAGGGTGGATGATGGGTATGAAGTTTAGGTACTGAAATGATTACAGTGGCCTAAACTTTAAATAGAAAGATTATCTTTGAAACTTTCTTTTTTTAAGATGTGTGTAGGCAGGCTAATTTGCTGTAGTAATTCATTAAATACTGTGGCACTTATTCGTGGCACTGATACCAGCAGCGCTTTCATTTGTCAACTTTCAAATTAAATTCCATGAACAGGATACCCTCAGATTGTTCTTACAATGGTGATACCAAATTCTTTTGCTCTTTTCATCCATTACTCTAAAAATACAGCATATTAAGATAGTTTCTATCTATCATTAATCAGCTCTTTGATCCTAGATAAATCACTTAATCTTCTGGGGCCTCAGCTTTTTTGTCTTTAAAACAAAGGAGACAGGCTAGTTTCCTTCAAGGAATCTTTGCAGCAGCCAGATGTAGTGATTTATATTCATTCTGCTCAAGAGCTCATTCCTCATAAACCCAAATTCTTTTTTATTCCATTCTGGAAAGTTCACTTTTTGTGTTTGTTTGTAGAGCGTATCTTTTTCAACTAGAAGTCCTTTTTATATCTTACCTTCTCATTTTATCCTATGTATCTAATTACTCTTTCATATCTTCTACCTTTTTATGCTTTTGTGCTGCGTCCTGAGGCATTTCCTCAAATCTTTTTTTCTAAATAAGGATTTCCTTCTGCTAATTTCAGTTATTTATACATTTATTGATTAATTTTTGTTATTTATTTCAGTGACCTCTGTTTCTGTTTATGTGTACATTGTATTATCCTTTCATTAGGGTTTTAGTAAACATTTTAAAACTTTTTATTGATAGTTAATAAATACACAGAAAATTGCTCATATTACAAATGTATAGCTTAATGAATCTTCACAAAACAGATGTGTTGTAGGTACCAAACCCACCGCAGAGGGTATCAGTCTCCCACCTGGCAATATGGCACATGGATGAAAAATAAAGATGGAGAGAATATTTTATTTTATTATTTATTTATTTATTTTGTATTTTAGGGAAGGATCTACAGGGTGTTCAGGGTCTCACATTAGATTGGACTCATAGTGATCGACCTGTTTACAGCCTCCCAAGAGCTGGGATTACAGGCGTATACCACCACTCCCAGTTTCAATCACTTTCTCAGTATGCCCCAGGGGCAGGGCTGGCCAGGCAGGCCCGGGGATCAACCCCTGGCCCATGCGCCTGCTTGCTGGCTCTTTACTCTGCTGAGCTATTTGGCCAGCTCTTTGAGAGACTATTTTAGAGATGAGGATCTCTGAGGTGACCCAATGATCTCGGAACAAAGGGCCACAAACCCAGTAGCTCACAGCTTTTCTTAGCATCGGGGAGATGGGTGGGGGTTGTGGTAAAGTGCTGGGGAAGAGAAACTTGGCAGACTAAGGAGAAACAGCATGTCTGCACCAGGCACGGAGGCCCTCCAGCCAGCAGGGCAGGAGACAGCTTGGTGCGTGTAAGGCTGTAGCTCCACTGCCAGAAAGGTGTTGTGGCCTCTGAGATGTCACGTCTGAGCCCGGGACTGTCACAGGCTCTAAGTGGAGCCTCTGTTCCAGCGGGGGCAACTCTGACCCACTTTGCCATGCTGAGTCAGCAGCGTCTCAGCCAGACTTGATGACATCGTTTTTTGCCAATTGAGGGAACATCTGGTTCAATACAGCCAGTTCTGAAGGATTCTCAGTCAGTAGGATTGAAATAAAGGTCAGCTCGAGATCACGGTGAGGGGCTTCCTTTCTCAGGAGAGTACAGTTTGGTGGTCTCCCACCTACAACCAACACCAAATCATGCAAAGTATTGCTACCCCTATTAAAGCTTTCTAGCTCTTTTCTAGTCACTAACCACCCCACCCCCACCTCATTTCCAAGGTTAACAAAGACTTAACAATTTTGCATGCTTTATGCTTTTAAAGATGTATACAATATATACTTTTTATGTTTGGCTTCTTTAGTTCAAATACATCTATCTTATCTATCTATATCTATGTCTATATATGTATATATTATGTATGTGTGGCCAGCTCAGCCTACCCTGGGGCAGGG